ATCAAGTCATGCTTTCGGGGTCCTGTCCAGGACCCCGAAGCTGCCTGCCCGTTGCACGTAGCGCCCCAGCCCGTATTGGAGGCATCTGTCGTGACAACAACATGCCTGGACACTTGTTCTAAGGGCACCCGGCCCGTAGAAAAGCAAGGTCCGACCAGGGGCTGAATAGGCGGCGACACATCGGTGTGATGGTGACACGATGTGTACCGTGGCGGCATGCCCATCTCGGGACTCGGGAGTGTAACCAGTGCTGAAGTGGTCTCATATGAAGCAATCCGAGCGGCGTGACTGCGGATGCCATATGCCCCAGGAGCCTCTGAAAATGCTGACTGGGCACGTTCGTTGGTGAGACGTGCCATCATACTCACCGAGTCTAACTCCATACCGAGATAAGAGATTAGGACCGGCTCGATTGCATCCATCGCCAACAGGACAGCAATCTTCTCACGCAAGACAGAGGCGTCTCGGACTGCCACCGAAATCTCGAGAATGCCATAGAACTTGGGAGGTCGCCTGGCGAACTGAATCGCGTAGCCGAGTCGAACCATCCGAATGAGCCAGCAGGACGGGTTGGGCAACGCAAGCCAGGCTCCCAAACTCCGTACGAGTGGCACCAAAGGGACAGTCGACGTCCCCACTGCGACGAGCAGGCTGAGACACGGCCCGCGACGGAACCGTGACAGCTGGAGGATCACGTTGGGGCAAGATGTGCTGTATGGCCTCAGTCTGCTTGTTGTACTGCTGAGAACTGCTGGGCACAGCCCTCGACAGCGTCGCCGCACAGGCCAGCCAGGGAGGACCCCAAGCTGCCTGCCCGTTGCACGTAGCGCCCCAGCCCGTATTGGAGGCATCTGTCGTGACAACAACATGCCTGGACACTTGTTCTAAGGGCACCCGGCCCGTAGAAAAGCAAGGTCCGACCAGGGGCTGAATAGGCGGCGACACATCGGTGTGATGGTGACACGATGTGTACCATGGCGCCATGCCCATTCGTCGTGACTTCCGTCGCCCAGAGGGCGAAGTCAGTCACCGTACGCAGGTCCTGCATCAACCTCGGGCCGGTACTACCCTCGTGCATTTGTTAAGGCCTTGGCTTGGTGAGCTTGCAGGATTGCCATGGCATGCAGGACAGAGGCAGCTTGGCCCGCAGGACTGTAAGCTTTGGCAGCGAGAGCCGCCGACAGCTTATAGGCTTTGGATACACCGAATGACATGCTGGGACCGCCATAAGACATCCCAGCAGAATCACCCAGCAGCCGCACAGGACAAGCGCTGCGGAAGGGGTGAGAGGTCCGTGGGGCGTGGCCCGGCGGAGAAGCTCTCACTGTCACCCTCAAATCTCCCAGAGCACTAGCCGGCGGTCCTCTGTTCGTGGCAGAGAAACCGGGACGGGTAGTGACAGAGGGGTCTGCTCCTTTCCCTTTAAGAACGGAGAGATGCGATCGCAACGTTGCCATGGTCATGCACTCGCAGTGCGGGCATGAACCATCCACG